TTAGCGATTTTTAAATTTGTAATTTTTTTGGATATTTCCCCCATTTGCGGGGAACGAGGGAATTTTTTTCAATTTTTAAGGGTAATGTCTTCAACTAGATACGATTTGTGATCTTTTAACGTATTTTTTAATCATGAATTTACTATTTATTGTAAATGAGTAACTATTTTTAAGCGTTCTTATTGTGGTATATCTAAATTATCCACGACCTTTAATTATGGTATTACTCCCTAATTCGGATATGCCGTTATAAAGTGTTTATTTTTGAAGTTTAACACTTAATAAGTATTCACAGATTATCCTGATGAATTGCCTATAATTTAGTATTTATTAAAACAAAATATACTCTGATCTTTAATATTGATATGATCTTTAATATGATTCATCTTTAATAAGAAAATAACCACATTTGATTAAAAATAAATTATAATAACTAAAAAAAAATAGTACTTTCTTTGTTTGCAAAAAAATATTTTCTTTTATTAATTTAGTTATAATTTTTTATGAATATACTGCAGACAAGATTAACTACGATAAAACTTTTAATTAAAAATTTATTAAGTTCACATTTTTTAAGATTTTTGTCTTCCATTTTTACTAGCATTTCAGTAAAATTGTAGGCAATTTATTTTATCAGTAAAATGATTACGTGTCAGGTATATTTTTTTCAGTTATAACGTTGTAGTTATTTAATTTTCTCTCATTTTAAAAATGTAATTATATATTACTGTTTTTTTTTTAATTAAATTGAATTTTAAATTTAATAAAAATAACTTTATTGTTTAATATTTTAAATAGATTAAATTATCAAGTAACAATTACTTCAATCTTCATGGATTGTGCTTTGTTGGTTAGTACAAGAGTTAATTAAAGCATAAATAAAGTTTAATTTAACACTAGTACTATACAAATAATAAAACTTGATGTAATCATTTTATAATAAGTCAATTTTAATGTTATTAGTCTATGTTTAATCTTTTTCTTATTTTACCTCGCCCCTATCCTAATTATTTAGGGTCGACCATCCTTATCCTTAAATTCCTTCTAACACGATCATTATTTACGCTCACATCAGCCGTCCTTATATCACATTCAATTACATCCCTCTATCTCTTTTTTGGTCTTCCTCTACCTCTTCTTCATTTAACATTAATTTATATAACTATTCTCACAGCTTTCGATTCCTCTCTTCTCATAACATGACCAAACCATCCAAGTTTATTTTCTCTCATCTTATCTACGATTGACGTTACACCTATACTCCCTCTTATATGTTCGTTCCTTATCTTATCTTCTCTAGTCACTTCACTCATCCATCTAAACATTCTCTTATTAACTATTACATACTCTTCTTACTAATTTATGTTTAATACAATGATTAATTATTTAGGAACCAACCCTATACACCATCAAAGGAATTTCTATTTTGGATAATGATGGAAATCGAATACTAGCTAAATATTATGATGATAATTTATTTCCCACAGTTAAAATTCAGAAAGAATTTGAAAAAAACTTATTTAATAAAACACATAAAGCAAATGCTGAAATTATCATGTTAGATGGGATAATATGTTTGTATAAAAGTAATGTGGATTTATTTTTTTATGTTATGGGTAGCTTACATGAAAATGAGGTAATTTAAATATTTCATATTTTTATCAAATTAATTACTTAATTTAATTTTTAATCTTTAAATTAACAACTTAAGAGTACTGTCGTTTTTGTTTTTCTTATAATTTATTATCATTTATCACTTAAAAACATTTAATTATAAAAAAAAAATGGTCAAACACTTGATTTAATTATCTATATGTACGTTATCTTCTCAGATCTGATCATTGTTTGAGTTATAGAGAACATTTACTTATTACTGCTTTAGTTGTACCTTTTTATTAATCTGTAAAGTACAACAAATTTATCCCACTACTCCTTTCAATTTCTCAGACTCGTTATGAAATATATTATTTTATTTTGTGTGACAAAATCATCCATATATTTACAAGATCATTAATTTTGTTGTCCACCATTTACATCTGCAAAATGTATAATTCTACCATTTACCCAATCGCAGACAACACACATTTGTATGTTATATAGAAATTAATTAAATGGGTAACAAGTGTGGCCTTAATAACAAGGCATTGCCTTTAATAGATGATAATGATTTAATGAAATTATAATGAATACTTTTTGATTAAAAAAAACTATAAGTTCTTTTTTTTTTTTTTTTTTTGTAAACTGGATGAAGTGTTTTGATAATACTTCATATATTTTCTTTGCTTACAACATAATATTTTATTTTTTTATGGTAGGCGTTTAAATGTCATGTCAAAATTTTATTCTTTTCAATTTTTAATAATATTCTAAAAAAATCTGACTTCATCATTTCTACAGCAAATTAAAGCTACATTTTATTAGCTTTAAATACAATGTACTTTAAGATAAGAAAGAAAAACTATCTTGAATCTCAATTTCTAAGAGTTGTTGTGAATTGAAGCCAAAAATTCTTACAACTTCCTGTAAAACTTGGCAATTTTGTAATTTTTTGCAATGTAACAAAAAATTTGCATCATTTTAAATTATTTTATATGAAAGCGTGTTTAATATATTTGATTAAAAAAAGAAAAACGTTCTGGTGACTTTTCCTCTTATAAGTAATTGGCGTTTCATATTAAAAACTATGTAAATCTTAGTAAATATGATCAATTTTTTAAATTTGTTTATAATACACATACAAGTATTCATACTTGTATATGTACTATTCATATGACAGTGAAACTGTCAAGTATCAATTAATACTAATTTAAAAAAGTTTCTTAACTCCACTATGCTGGATCTTGACTGTACTTTATATTTTTATTTATTTGTATTTTATAAGGTAATATATCTTTAATAAATTAGTAAGTAACAATAAATATCTGATTAAAATTCTTTATTTTATTCTGTTAGTTGCTTTTGATGAGTGTTTTGCAGTGTATGTTTGATTCTATTGGCCTAATTCTTAGAAAAAATGTTGAGAAACGAGTGATTTTGGATAATTTAGATGTTGTTATGTTAGCATTAGATGAAATTTGCGATGAAGGGTAACTAGACTCACTAAAAGTGAAATTTAAAAGAGCTTTAAATAAAATTATTTTATAGAATTATTCTTGAAGCTGATTCTGGAGCTGTTGTACAAAGAGTAGGTTTACGGATTGATGATATACCAATAGGGGAACAAACAGTTGCTCAAGTAAGTTAAAAATAGTTGTTATATACAATATATAATGCTCAATAAAATTTTTTTCAGGTTTTCCAATCAGCTAAGGAGCATTTAAAATGGTCTTTATTAAAATAAAGATTAAAAATAATATATAGTAATTTGTATATTATTTTTATTTTAATTTCTCAATAAATTATTTGTTGAACTATTTTAACAGTTAAAATAAAATAATATTACTTTTTTTTAAATTTTAAAGTCATAAAAGCCAATAAAGTCTTTACTCTTAAAATTTGAAATAATAAGGAAATTATTAATGTAATATAATTTCAAAACAGCAAGGGCTATTTTTTATTTATAATTTAAACACGTATATATAAATAAACTACATTTTAAACATTAATTTATTACAAGTTATTGCATTTTATAATATATAATTAACAATTTTTCAATTAAATTTGACATAGAAAATAAAAGGAAAAAAATCACAATTGAAAATTTATATTTATAATTTAGGTAATTTATTAATTATTTACAATTTAGTAGTTATATATTATGTATTCTAATGTATTTTGGTTATTATTCATGGAGTTTAAACATACTTATTTTTATTGGAGCCAAACTTTATTTAAAAAAATATATTTAAAATATAACATAATAATGGGATGAATAAATAACTATACATTCATATGGACAACACCCTTTATTAAAATAATACATCAAAATTAGCTAAAGTGTCAAACAAAAAAGTTGTTTATAAATTGATATTCAAAATAAAAATTCTTGTTTTAGCTGTTTTATCCATATTCCACCAAATGAGAAGTACAAAATAAATAATTTAACTAAAAATTTAAAGTTTTTGGCTAAAGGTAGTGAAAACTAATAAAAGAAAAATTAGTCAAAATTCTCTATTTCAAAGTAGACACATTTTTTACTACTTGTAATATATACCTAGGTGGTTTAATTATATTATTCAGGAGTTTGTTTAAACAAACTTGAAGTCTTCAAAATTATTTTATCTTACACATAAGAACATTCTTCTTTATGACAGATACATGCTAAAGAATCGTCTAAGTGTGATCAACACACTTAAGGCGTTAATCAACTAAAATTAATATTTGCAATTGACAAAGTCATAATTAATGATTATGAAAACTCAGAAGAAAACAAAACAAGAAAAAATTAAATAAATCACAATATCTCATAAATCATTTTCAACAAAAACAAGCAAATAAAACTCTCTGTAACTTTAGATATATACCTTAATTAACCAGATTAAGTTTTCAGAGCAATGTATGGTATCATGACAATGGTAAAATTTTATATAAATAATAATATGCCTTCAACCAGTTCACCATTTTTACACTCTAAGTATTTCCAGTGACTTATTATAGCAAATTGCAATCCAATCTGGCTGTGTGGCACCCCATTGTATTTGGTTAATTTCACCTTCAGCAGCTGTGTATGCTAGTATTGGATCTTCAATTGCTCTTGGCATTTGCTGGATATCCCAAATTAACGCTTGATGATCATCACCTAATCAGATAATATTACAAGTGTGCATATACTATTGTTTTTTGAATAAAATATTATTAGAAAACTTTTTTATTGAAAAAATTCATAGAATTTTATTTAAATTAATAAAAATAGTTCTTAATTTACCTGCAGTACAAATGTGACAAGATGAATGTGGAGCCCACGCAATGCCATTCACACATGCTCTATGATTATTTAATCTAGCAACTGGTGTGCATGGTACTCTAACATCAAGTATAATAACCTTAAAAATAAAAATTATATTATACAACATATATATTTATATATATATATTTACCTCGCATGCATCCATAGCAACAGTAGCTAGATAATTAGGATCCTGTTTATTCCAGGCAAGTCGAAGTAAAGGAGAGTGCTGTGGGTCTTCATATATAATGGTAGAATGTTCAAGGTGCCTCAAATCAAACATTCTTACAGAACCGTCAGCTCCTATATTAGAACCATACATTTAATAGAGCTAATACAAGAATTCTGAATAACATACCAACTGAAGCAAACATATCTCGGCCACCACCAGCACGACTAAAAGCAATATCATAAACTTCTTTATCATGAGCAATTAATTGTGTTTTTACATGTCCAGCAACTGAGTTAATTCTTCCAACAATCTGTATAATAAGTTATATTCAAAAAATGTTATTATCATAAAAGTTAATTTAAATTCAATATTTCGAAACTATAAAATAATGGTATTTTATAATTAAATATGATTAATTATATACATTAAAGCTTTCTACATTTATTTCATTATATCTTTTATGCCAAATTAAAAACTATCCTTTTTTGTGTGCTAGATCATTAATATTTATAATTCATAGCTTTCATAGCTCATTCATTCAAATGAGTCTGTATTAAATATGGAAACATTTTATTGTAAGTTATTAAAAAATTTAAAATTTTAATATAATTTAACTAATGTACATTTAAATTGAAAGAAATTAAATTTTTAATAATGTAAAATAATAAATACCTGTGTAGTTTCTAAACCCCAAATTGTACAAGTTGTGTCAATACTTGAAGTACCGATTAAATTAGGGTCAACTTCATTCCAATCAAATGATGTGAGAGGTGCACAGAAATCAGAATTTTTATTCTAAAAATTTAATAAAAATGATCATTTAATGTAATTTAAAAAATTGATCAAATAATATAAACAAATATAATTAATATTAATATATTACATTATTTAATATACATTCTAATCTTGTTTCTGGCTCTCCAGCTCTCCATATTCGTAAATAATCACCACTTGTAGCTAATAAATCAGGAAATACACCTTTCTAAAAAATATAACATAAAAAATAAAATAATTAGTAAAATATTAGCTTTACTATTAAAAATTAATTTTAAATAGAATTAAATATATTACACTATCAGGTATCCACATAATTTTGGTGGTAGGATATGGGTGATCAAAGGTGCTTTTAGGGCTGAATTCAGATACTTCTTCATCTAATGATACAATTTGAACTTTGTTATTGTATTCTTCTACAAAACTGCCAATAGCTAATCTATTAAGTTTTAGATTATTTAATTCATTAATTGTATTTTTAAATGGGCAATGTGTAATATAAGTAAATGGAATGTACATCTAGTGAAGAAAAATTATAAACCAATAATAATGACATAATATAGAATCATAATACAATTAAATAGAAATTCTTTAATTATATATATATATATATATAAAAGTACAGATTGAGTTATTAGCAAACAAATCAACATTAGCTTTATTTACTAGTTGTATTAACCTATTTATGGGTGCATTCTGACTATATTTTGATTGCTAAAATAGTAAACAGAAGGTGTTCAACTACCTAGTACTACAGCAAGTGTCAGTAAACTCATTATAATTCATTATCAACAATAAATAATAATTCATTAACGGTAATAATTAAGTATTATCGAGTTTCATAATTTAGAAAAAGTTTCAACTTTATTTCTTTATCATAAATTATTTTCAAGACACCAACAATTAAAATGGTTAACATTATCTTGCAGCAATAAGCCATCTATTAAGGATCGTATAATGCAAAATATTTCATTAGCAAAAAGTAATATAAAAGAGTTGGTAAATATAATGTCATTGATGTAAAAATTAATAGTAAAAGGCTACAAAGTTCACCTTTCTGGCATTCCAGAACTAACTTTAAACATATAGGATTTACAGTTTTTGAGTTTAACATTTTGAGACTTATCAGAAGTGTAAAAATAAGCCATCAATAAAAAAGGTCACATATACCAGACAAAAGTAACTTGGAAAAAAGAATATTGTTATTGACTTTTTAGATAATATGAACATTGTTGATAAATTTAATGTATAGGTTTTGTTCACCAGAGTCTAACCGCAATCCAAGATCATACATGATTTTGGAGAAACACTTTCACTGCTTAACTGCTTAAACCGATAAATTGCAAGAATTTTTAAATTTTTAAATAATTTCAGTTTTACCTACTGGTGAATAAAATTACATATATACAAGGACATATATACAATATATGACAATTTACTCCAACGGTTAATAGAAGTTGGATTAATTTTAATACCAATGGTTTTTAACAGGTCATATACAATATAATTGATCCGATGAGATAGAAGATTGGATATTTGAAACATTAAATAAAATTATATTTCATCTTGTAATTGACAATCTGTAAGCTCAGATTAAATTGTCACTATATTAATATCAGAAGAATTAGTTTAGGTATTCTCAATAGCCATAATTTTTACTTTAGGCTGCTTAATTTTTCTTTTCAGAAACCTGTTTTCAATAATAACATTAGTTATTTAACTAGATAGATTATCAAGTTTAGATTCAATAGATTCATATTTTTTATCTTGATATTTGATTTCATCAAAACTAGAATTCATTGAATAGACAATTTTATTTTGTGATTTTGTTAGATCATTTACCATTTTACCAAGTTTGTTAATTTTTTCATTAAATTAATCAACTTTTTTTTTTGAGCTATCTAATGTAAGATTTGTCAATTCGCATTACCTTTTTAAGCATATAAAGAGAAATTAGGTGAATTAAATATAATTTGATATATAAAATAAAATAATAATAAATATATACTAGAATGTCAGATGCAACACCAAATAATAAAAATTTTTTAGTAAATTAAAAATAAATATTTGACTACTTACCGAAATCGTTTATCAGGACGAACTGACCAATTCATACTATACAGGGGCCAAGGTGCTTCATATTTATAAATTTCTTTACGCTTAGGAGTGGAACCATGAACAGCCATTATAATTTTAATCTTAAAAATATTATTTATTGTTCAATAAAATTAATAAAGTTATATTTACGATATCATTTATGATATATATAGTTAAGTAAAATAAATATGAAAGTTGTTATTACAAAGATATTTATTAAATGCTTGTCTTTTCATAACAAAAATATAATGGTTAATATTTTACTAATTAAAGAAATCACAAAACGACTGAATCTCGAAATAATAAACACGATTTAAAATAAAGAATGATTACTCGTTTTTGACAATAGTTATTTACTTACTTATATCACAAATACTACAGTTATGAGGTTGTTTTTACTATCTCTAGTTTTTCTTTTAATTAATTTTTTTGGTTTTTTCCCCTATACATAGCTGCAAATTTTCGAAGTATTTCCTTGGCACTTCGCCGGTGCAAGCATTTTTAAGGATCGTTTCATCAATTGTCAAGATCAAACGATAGCTATAAAATTACAGTAAAATGGAACCAAATGACTTGAATCGTCTCAAAACTCTAGGTATGATTAACTAAATTAATTTTATTGAGAAACAGAGATTAATATCAGAAATCTTAAAAAACGTAAACAAACGACGCGAGCATGATAATGATTTGGAGTCCGGAGTCTGCCGGTCAAATAGAAGCTCAATGACCTCCACGGCGTCTATATGTTATCAAAATTCGATAACGTCTCAGACATGTAACGAGGGAGGAAAAGTTTCATCTGGAACAACCCATAAACAAATATAGTACCTGCTCATATTCAAGCTATTTACATTCCGAGTAAACTTAAATCGATGTCGTTTAAAAATTCTTAGTAATGTTCGATAAACTAACAAATATTATAAAATAAACATAGCAAAATAATTCAATTGCTTATATTTCTTTTTTTTGATAGATATCGTCATGTATGCTTTGGTGAAACCTGGGAAAACTTCGTCGTCGCGACAGCGCAACAATTTACAACAAAATGAAATAAAAAAAGAGCCCATTATTGATCCTGGAGATTTTAGTCAATTATCAGATTCAGACGAAGATTCTGTGACCGAAATTGTAAGCAAATATTTAGCTAAAAGGAACATTGAGGTAAGCTTCTATTTTAAAAATTATTTTTAACTTGAACTATGGTCTGTTATGGTCAATATTATTTTATAAAATAATCAACACCTAAACTTTCTTTTGTACNTAAGCAAATATTTAGCTAAAAGGAACATTGAGGTAAGCTTCTATTTTAAAAATTATTTTTAACTTGAACTATGGTCTGTTATGCAATATTATTTTATAAAATAATCAACACCTAAACTTTCTTTTGTATCTCATAAAACAATAGAATTCTACGTGTATTAGTCAATATTTTAATACAATTTAAAATTAAATTATTTTTTAATACAGCAATGAAGCCATTGATGTAGTATTCTTTTTCATTAAAATTTAAGACCAAATACTAGTATAGTATTAGTTAAATAGTTTTACCTATTTATCCATCTAACTTAGAAGGATATTAGAGTTATTAGCCATTTTATTATTCAAGTAAGCCCACTGAACATAAAGTATAATTTTTAAATTAATAAGAATGTAAAAAACTAGAAGATTATATTTCTTACAAAGATAAAATCAAAGTCAAAGTTGGTATTGAAATATATATGACAAAAAAAATTATTTTAACCATACTTACATGAAATAATAATAAAAATTTATTCTAAAATTTCAGTGATAAAAAAGGTGAATACATCAAATATTTTTCAAAAAATTATCATCTAAGCGTGTCATTAGTCGCTTAAATCCTTATAAGCCTTTAATCTACTGGTCTCCATTTTACCAAGTCCTAATTGTATTGTTTTTTTTCCTATTAAAAAAACCTAATAATTGTATACTTTTTTACTCAGTTTTATTAAAGTCTTAGAACACTATTTTTTACTAGTTTTCAAATGAAATTTTGATTGTGAATGAAATTCTACAATTTTTTTACTTAATTATAATCAACTACTTTTTTTATACATTTTTTCACCTAAAGTAACAAAATGTATAACATATTTTATTGAAATAAAAGAGTTATGTGTTTTTTTATATTATTTTTCAGAGTTCTTACATTACTAAACAAAAAGTGACTAATAAAAATGTTATGGAATATATAAATATGCGTTTTGTTCAAAGCAATTTTAGAACTTTAGGATTTCATGATCCTAATGATCAAAATCTACCAGAAACATGGGAACAATTCCTTGAGTAATAAAACATTTTGCTATTTATACATATTAATAAGAATAAAAGACTTTGGTATATTTGATCATTTGGGGGGGGGGGGGGAAAGTACTTTAAAAATGTAAATTTCCCATTAATGAAATAAAATTGACTTAAGCCTTTTTTTCATGTTAATAAAGATGTTTATTTATATTTATGCACTGCTACAGTAACTATAGGGTTAGCTGAGGAAATATTCTAGTAGAAAACCTTTTTGCTTTTGTTTATTTATGGAATATTTTGCGTGAAGCAAAAAAAATTTTATTAACACGGTGGGCCTATATTTATTTTTTATTTCTGATTTTAGGGCCATACAAATTTAGTTTGAGTCAGTATAAATGCTATTTCTAGTATTTTATTAAAAAGCCTTACTTATTAGTATAATAAATACTTGTTAGTTAAAAAAAACTTCTATATTTTTAGATTCGAGGAATGGTTAAAAGAATTACCAGAAAATTATCAAAAGCAGCTTAAACATATACGATTTCCATTATTTTGTCATCTTTATTTAAATCTTCATTCAAAATACAGTATTGAAGATTTATCAAGTTTTTTAAAAACATTCAAATATTTATTTCAAAGTAAAAAATCAATATCATTTCTTAAAGAATTGTTGAAAATAAATGAAACTAACAATATGAACAAGATAAAAAGTATTACAAAATTTAGGTTGGTAAGATTATTTTATTTATTACATTAAAGTAGTATAAATAATCATTTAATTAAATGTTTATAACTAATAATACATTACTGGAATATCATTTTCTGTAAAGAAATGGTCTATTATAGATNAACTAATAATACATTACTGGAATATCATTTTATAAAGAATATCCCTTCTTTAGATTTTTGAATTTATTACTATCTTTAGCCAGTCTCCTGCTACCAATGGAATTTTGCTAGCTCTCATATTTTGAAATTTTAGCAGTTTGTTTTTTTAGTTTAGAGTTGTTTATGACACTAACCTACATAGAGGAAGTAATAAGTAGTGTATAGTTATTGAAATCCCTAAGTTATATACTACCTGTAAACTAAAACTTCTAGAGTCCTATGAGTGTTTTATCATGCACTTTTGAATGTGAATAATGGATTTCATCTTAAAAAATCTAATGTATACAAATTTTACTTAACAAAAATTATTATTAATGATCGGTATCACAGAATTTTATATATATATATATATATATTTTATGCAGTCAATTTACAAAATTCGTTGTTTTATTATTTAAAAATATATATTGAAAATAGGAAAATATTAGCAAATATAAAATATAGAATTGGCTTAAGAGAGTTTTCAAAACCCCTGACATTCCTTTTAAATATATTATTGATCAGTAACTTAATTTAACCAGTAGGCAAATGTATTACTTGGCATTTGTCAAATGTCTGATCACCTCTATAAGAGATTATTATATTATCATATAATTNTTGTCAAATGTCTGATCACCTCTATAAGAGATTATTATATTATCATATAATTTCATTTTTACTATTTTCCCAAATAACCTCAAGATTTGCTTCTCAGAAATTGGATTGAATCATAGACTTTTATATAATTTTTAATTTTATATTTACAGAAAAAACAAATATATTTTTTACACAGATGATAGTTGTTATATGTGTTTTTGTGATTTTCTTGAAAATCACCATATTATAAGAAATGTAAGTTTTTTTTACACTTATTTTGTGTTGTTAAAATTGTTATCAATTTTACTTTCAAAAGGTAATTCATGAATGGTTTGAAGTGAATTATATTACTAACAGTAATCATGAAAAAGCTGTAGAAGAATTTTTTGAAAAAAATATTGTGGAAGGATCAACTTCACTTGATAGCAATATTGTAGGAGAAAAAAGAAAATTATGTGAAACAATAGCAGAACAGAACTCTAGCACTTCAAAAACAGAAGATAGTGGAAATATAAACCATATAGATGAGTTAAATAAAGTAGATGTTAGTGTAATAAATAAAAATAGACTGTAATGCCTCTTTAGTTTTAACTTCATTTATTTTATTAACATATTTAGTGTTTACATAAAATCCTTTTGAAAAAATTACTTTTCTTTCCTTATACATTTATTATACATTTGAACCACTGTTACACATCTTTACATAAAATAGAATTTTATTAAATAACATGTTATTTACACTATTATACATTAATTTCACTTTGATTTTTTAGAAAAGAGTCTCTGACATTTGTTCTTATACAGAAACTGATAATACAGATAAAGACATAATCAAAACTTCAAAAGATTCTATTAATACAAATATGGAAAATTTGGTTAGTATAAATATATATTTACATTTATTTTATTAAAAAATAGGAATCCTATTATAAATGTTGAATATTTGGATGAAGTATTTTCTTTTTCTATTAAGAAAATTATTTTATCTTAAAACATTTATCAAAATATAATCATTAATCTATTTGATTTAGATTTATTTTTTATTGCTTTTGTAAATATAAATTATTTTAAGCTAACAAACGTAAAAAGATCTTCAAGCAAACATACAAAACAAGTCAACAAACATCAAGCCAATGAACTTCTAAATGACTCAACTAAAATTAAATTTAAAACTATAAAAGTAATTTTTCTATACATATTAAAATTATTAATATTTAATTTTATTCTTATGTTATTTTATAAACATTAATTATTCAACCGTTATGAATGGTAATTTTCATACTATTAAAAAGGATCACGAATGCACAGTTTTCAAAAAAGTAAATATTTTTAATTTAATTTTATTCACTTTAAACTATTAATGCTACATTATTATTTTTATTCAGTAAAATAACTTAACTAATTTTATTTCTATCTTGTTTGATTAAGTTTAAAAATGACTCTATAATATCTAATGAAGGAAATAAATCTTGTCCGGAGGAATTTCAGGTACATATAATTACAACAATTTTGTAAGCCTTTTTCAGAATAATTGTTTTATAATATTTTAATTTTTAATTTTCTTTAATTTTTTAAGATCTTTGGTTTAAATTTAATTGACAATTTATTTCAAGTTTTATTTGCTTTATTTCTTTTAATTAAAATCTATAAGAATTATTATTTTAATATTAATAATTTTCTTATTATTATTTTTTTTAAATATTCAATTATAATATGCTCTAAAAATAACATTTTTTAATTTTTGGCATTATTGTAATTTTTAATGGAATATTAAATTTTATGAGTATTGGCCGACCCCAAGTAGTTTGGATTAAAGCGAGGAAAAAGAAGAAAGAAGTCTTATGAGTATAGTAATGCTTTGACAGAAAAAATAATTCATACTAAGGGCCATACAAATTAGAAAAGATTTTTCTTTTGAGAAGTTACTCAAATAATTATAGTATAAAAAATAATCTATAACTTTTTCTATCTATTTATATTTCATATTCATAAACTAATAAGCCAATTATCCCATTAATCTTTAATTAACACATGCAATGTTGAACTTTTTCAACTCTCTTTTGGAATAGACGTGTACAGCCCATGTAAAAATTCATTACTTATACAAACTAGTTCAAAGATGTGTAAGGATTATTATGTACTCTGGATTATAACTATAGTTTTTAATATACAATATATTTTTTGTGTCTTTAAAGAAAAAAATAAGTTTATAAAGTGATTTGTTATTTTTAATGATTTTACACTTTTAATTATTTAATTTTTTTTTGTTTCACTTTCTTTAACATTTTTGCAATTAGTATGATGATAAAAATCCAGAAAAATCAAAATATCTTGAAAAATTTGCTAGTGATAAAAGTTCAAAAAAGAAAAAAGTAATTTTTTATATTATTTTTACTTAAATTAAACTTTTAATGTATTTCATTATATACATAAGTTTATATTTATATTTATTTATTGTTCAAGAAATCATCTAGGAAAGAAAAAATGTCTTCACATTCCAAACAACATTCTGCTAGCTCAAGTAAAACTTTATTAGAAAAAGTAACTGCTTATTTTATTTTTAATGTGTCTTTCAAAAAAGGAATAGAAATACAATATATTTTTTAATTTTCATTCAAGAAACAGTTGAAAACCAGAATTAGGCAAAGAATTTATGAGGATAGACCTTCAAAGAGAAGTTCCAGAATAAGCATTGTAATATTTTAATTTATTTACATTAATTTGACATAATTTGATATATTATTTAAGTGGAAACACATTTGAGTTAAAAATAATTTTAATGAAATATTTGTTGATATTTAATGTTAAATTAATTAATTTTTTTTTTTGTATTTTGATGTTACAATTGATTTAAAATTTACAATAAACATATTTTGTAAACTTTAATTTTTTTTTAACTTCATTTTTTATCTAATTTAACTTGAGAATTACTTGTTTTATTTAAATTGTTATCCCTTATTAATTATTTAAATTTGTATGAATTCTTAACTTAATATCTTTTTTTTACTTATTAACTTAAATTTTATATATATTATTACCAAATGAATCAAGATTGTTGGAAAAGATGGAAATATTTTAAAACAGTATAGCCGACCAAAATCTTCAAGCAAGCATCATTCAAAAGTGAAAAAAGTAATATTATGCTGATAATAAGTATTTTTTATTATTAACTTCTCAAATATTTTAAATAAATTAAACATTCACTCCACTTGTTCCCTTTAAGATGTTATATCTACATAAATGATTGAAAATTAAAATGGATTAGTTTAATATTCTTAATTTTAATTTAATTCTTGTACTTAAAAAGATTTAATGTGTGATTATTAATTATCAGTAATATGTTTTAACATTTTTATTAATTTTATTACAAATTTTATATAGTTTTCAAAAAAGTATATTTTAAATTTTCTTTTAATGCTCATATTAAGTTAGAAAAATGTTTTACAATATAATCAAATATAACTCTACCATATTTCAAATCTTTAATAGTATAATAATAACAAAAATTTGATTTTCATGATTTTTTTGAAGATGTCTAACTTAAAACATAAGAATATTAATGATGAAAATAATAGTAAAACTGCTGAAAATAACTTAAGAAGATCAAGAATATCTTCAGAAGTAAGTTAATTATAATTTATCTAGTCATACTATTAAAAAATTAATAATAATACTTTTTAAAAGGATACAACTAGTGATTCTAATGATTCTTCACCAGAAAATAACCCATACTTAGATTTTATTAATAATGAGTTCAATGTTTGTTCACGTTTACGAAATGTAAGTTTAATTAAATATTTTCATTTATTTAATATTTACACAGACATGTATAATTGTGTATATATATATACAGGGTGGCCCAGTATTCACTGACAACTTAAATAACTTTTATCTAGTTAATATTTTTTACTTTTTTTTTTGTCAGTGAATGTGCAGGGGCTCTACAGGTATATACGTAATATATCTCATGTAATATCTTTAAAAATACAAGTGTTACAAACAAATTTTTTTTTTAATCATTATGAATCTTTGATGACCTGTTTCACAAGAAAAATTAAATTTCTATTATCATTATTTATACTTAGAACTTGTATCAAATTTAGATTTTTAAATGGTAACCCCATATTATTTTTATATATTTTTGTTGAGATAAAAAAAAAAATATTTAGCAAAAAAATAAAAAATTATGAATTTTTAATAAGATACGCTACTTAAAAATTTGAGCGTTTGTTGGAGCGGTGGTCACACTAGTTGTTGACAAAACTCTAGTGTTAAGCCGCGCCTACCGCGGTAGGTGAACGGATGGGTGACCATGCGTGCGCTTTTACAGTGGCAAAATAGCACCATGTTCTCAGTGCAGAAGGCAACGGGAAACCACTGCACTTAAAATTTCCCCAGGATATACCAATGGTATTAACCAACCTAATGGTTGTAAAAAAAAAAAAGAACTTAAAAATTTATGATATTTGATGAAAAAATTCAGTAGTTTTTCCAACACGGTCACATTATTATTTATGTGGCGATTAGAGCTACCGGTTTACTGTGTCAACACATGTAGTCAGAATAGCCCTTATCGATATATGACTTATAATGTTCGAGTCTGTTATAACTTTTCTTTAATAAACCCTAAACTTTATAGATCCGGCAAACACTTAATATTAAATAAAATAAATTATTTTTTTTATTAAACCAAATCTAATGGTATAAAAAAAAAATAGGGTTGCCATTTGAAAATATGAAGTTGATACAAGCTTTAAGCTTAAGGGATGGTGGTAGAAATTTAAATTTTATTGCAAAACACCTCATCAAAGATCCATAATGATTAAAAAAAATTTGTTTATAACACTTGTATTGTTTAAGATATTATGTGAGACATAGTTAGCCAATCACTCTGTATATATATATTAATATATTAGAGTAGTCCTTAATTTTTAAAATTGGATTTATTCTTTTACTATTATCAGAAGTATTGTTTGATTTTATAGCTTCAACTATTTTAGTTTTAGTTTTAACTGTTAAATTAGTATCAAAAAATGCTAATGCCCATGTTTCAGTGGCTAAGTACTACGAATATCCACATAGATTTTTTAAAGTTGACTGAGGTATATTTTTATCTATATTTTGATAGTCAATAAGACTTTTCAAAAAATTTAAGTCTTGAGAAGGAGCTAATGAAGCAATCAGTGTACCAAACCATGCTTTAATATATAATTAAATGAGAAATATACAAATATTGCGTAAAGAATTTTCTTCACTTTTTGATAATTTAAATTGATCATGCAATATAAAAATTTTTAGTGAATATATGGCTTTAGATATTCAACGAGCATGATGCATTGCTAAAGGATATTTAAAATAAATGTCACGAGTAGGAGTACCACCAAGAAATACTACAGCAATTCTTTATAATCGTATTTGTTATGAGTTTTGTTTAATTTATCCATATAAATGGCTAACATATTTTGTATATCATTTAATTTTTCACTAACTATTATATCATCTAGGCCAGTTTTAAAAATATTAATATTAATTTTTGGTCAAAATTGTTTAAAAATTTGAACTTCTGAACCAGACGAAACGACAGAATTTATATAAAATGCAGCTTTATGTATGATTTCATAAATATGATACCAGCAGGGAAATTAAATAACATCATGTTCTAATAGCTGTTTAAAATTTATACACGCCTCTTTTAGATGTCCCTTAGACTGTTTTACGTATTACTTTAATAAGTATAATAACACTATCAATAGCACACTAATCGTTTGTGAAATTAAATAGTAAGAAAATTATATATTTATGTTATTGCTTTTAAGGTATTGTTTATTTATAGAAATACCACTCATGATTATTGTTAATGTTTAAGTATAATACTAAAATTTCATGTTATAGAACAACTGATTAGTAAACACATAGAAGGACAATTTTTTAAAATAATTTTTGTTTTGGTGTTACATAATCAATGATTTTTAGTGTTTTTTAACAAATTATTGTAAAGAATTTTACATTTATTAAATAAAAACATAAAGTAATAGTTATAGTAGGTTAAATTATATATTATAGCCCTTAATCGTAACCTTATAAATAATTTCAATGAAATATTGGTAAAGAACTTAAAAAAATAATTTCATTTAATAAAAACATATTTCATAATTTTTAGGGCTGGGGGCACGGGTTAAAATTAATTAATCAACATCAAATTTTATGTATATTTTTTATACCTATTGAAACCATGTTGAAGGACCACTCTAACATATATGGATATAATTCTTTTAATTAAGTCATTTTAAAATTGAAAATAAATTTTTATATCTGTTAAAAGAAATTTATATCATCAACCAAGAAAATTCAAGTTACCAAAATTGATGTGAAAAATCTTGAAGATGATATTCATTTATGTAATATGAAACAAATAATCTTGAAAAATTGTGAAAAGTATGTGTCTCATTGAAACAGATTTTTTTTCTTGTATATAAATTAACTATTACTATTATATTTTTAAATAATAAAGAATAACACTAATAATAAAATTTATATGTTGGACTATCAAAATGTTAATGTTTTATTGTCAGATGTACATGTGCCATGCTGTCGACTAATCAGAAGTTTGTTGTTGCTGGTAGTATAGATTGCAAAATATACCTGTGGAAAAGATCTAATACTTCGGTGCATAATAAAATTAGTATCTTTGATGTGTATGAAACTGATCCTAATAAGAATACTGACATTAACTTCAAAAGACCCAGTCCAAAAATACTTAATGAAACGTGAGTTTATTGGAAAAACAATTTGTGTCAAAACTGTTTCATTGTTTTAATTTTTAATTTATTTAATCATTTTTATTATTGGAGAAATATGTTCTTTAACACTATTAAACTTATAAATATGTTGATACTACTGTGGTAAAATTAAAAGGTGAATTTCCTTATATTTTTAAAATCTTTATTTATTTTTCTAGTTCTATTTAACTTAACACTTATGCCAACAAATTTACCAGTCATCATAACACTTGGTAAAGTCTTCTTTCTGAATGCCAATCAAAGCCTTCTGCAATTTAACTTTTATCTTCTCAATCGAGTCAAAATGGTGTCCCTAGAGCCTTCTCTTGAGTTTGCTGAATAGCTGCAAATTACACAGAGCTAAATCGGGTGAATAAGCAACTTGTTGAAAAATATTTGTTGAATGTGTTGGCATAATGTTTACAAAAAACCAGCGTCGTGTATGATGGCACATTATCCTGGTGTAAAACCAAGAGTTATTTTGCCATAACTCTGGCCTATTTTTGAAAACAGCTTCACGCAAATGATACATAACACTTATAATAATATTCCTTGTTAACAGTTTGGTTCGTCGAAAGGAATTCAAAATGGACAACACCACAATAATAAAAAAAAAAAAATTGACAATATACCTTGATTCTTGAGCAATTTTGATGTAATTTTTTCGGTTCGGGCTCGCTTTTGGCATGATATTTAATTACTTGATCTACTGTTTAGGATTCATAAATGTAGATCCAAGACTAATCTCCAGTTTTGATGCATTTTGCTACGTCCTGATAGTATGAAAGCATTGTTTCACAGATACTAACACGACAGTCTTTTTCAAAAAAATAAAGTGTTTTTGAAACCATTGGAAAATTTAACTCTCTTAAAGCATAATTTGTCACACAAAACCGCCTGCATTAATTCAAATGATATGCCCAAACTATTAGCAATGTCTTTAATAGTCAATCGACGATTTCCATTTTTTTGACTTGCTTGATGTAATGTTCATCAGTCGATATTTTAGCTGATTTGACATCACATTCTTAACAACACTTATGAGGTCAGCCTTTACTCGTTGTACCACTTATAAACATTCTTTGAAGACAGAGTTTGATCCACAAAGGCTTTCTACAACATCCTCATGGTTTCCACAGCCGAAATTCTATTTCGCAAACAATATTTAATGCAACTTCTTTGTTTAATAAATTCAGACATTGTAAATCGCAGAATTCACTTTTAGCATCTCACAAAACGAAGCATGTCTCAAACACTAACAAATATTTTGACATGAAATTTGACACAGATGTCACTAACAGTACTACCAACTTACAGAAAAGAAAATTTACCATTTGGAAAAACCTAGGAAGTTTAAATTAAACTTTTGCTTTTCAATTTTATCATAGTAGTATACTTTTTATTTATTTTACAAATTAATAATTCTTTATTTATAAAATAACAGCAGTCTTTTCAAACACTTAGTTAATGTGTTTGTCTACTTCTAGGTATAGACCAGTCCTTCACCTTATTAATTATGTCCTTGAAAGTAATTCAATCTACCTGTACAATTTATAGAATATATACTACATACTCTTAGAAAAATTGCAATTTTACTATTATCTTTGTTGTATAAGTGATTAAATTATTACAAACAAAGTTGATGAAGATTTATCATAATATTTTATAATTAATTTTCTTAAAATAAAAAGTTTTTATTTGTAAAATATATACAAAATAATTACCCTTTTAATTTTTACTAAAATTTTATTGTTTAAGGTTCGATAAAAGTACAGCAAAAATATTATATGGACATTCAGGTTCTATATTTGAACTTGGGCAGATTCCAAGAAGTAATATATTAATGTCGGTTTCGGGTGATGCTTCAATGAGAGCTTGGGATATGGAAACAGGTCATTGTTTAGAAGTTTTTAAGTGAGTTGCTTTAAAAAAATTATTACTTGTATAGTTTCAGTTTAATTTATTACATTTATAACATTAAAAAAAAAGTAAAGTACAGTAATCATTAAAAGCAAATAACAGAATATAACAAAGAATTTTAATTTTTAAACATTAATTTATTAGAGATATATTATGTTATAGAAAAAAAAAATAAAGTACAATAGAAAACCTGAGCATAGTGGAGGAGTTAAGACATTTTTAAAATTAATATTGATTAATTAAAGTTTTACACCAGTAATTAAAATTACTGTGGTACACTTTGATGCATATTTGATAGAAATAAAAAAAGTATTCATCTATTTCGTACTTATTACAAATATTTTAGGCGAGAAAAAGTCAGTTATTTGTTGCCAACAATATCAAACACTCAACATAACCTTAAAAATAGTTTATAAAAATACAATTTATGATATAAGTCAAATACTATTTTTGTTGAATTAGGAAACTGAATACTCAATTTATAATATAAAACCAAAATTTTAACTTTCAACTTAAATAAAAAAAGGGGAAAAATGAAAAAGCTTAATTGAAAAAATAATAATAATAGTATTCTTTAAAATAATTACTCTAAGAATATATTTGTTAAAAAACAGTAAAGGATGAATTTATATTTTGGTGTAACGTTCGTAAAGTGAATAAATATTTCTCACACCCTGAGAAAAATACTATTTTAATCAATTTATAGTTATCCATAGTAATAAGGACAACCAACAACCATTCTATACATTTTCAAGTTACTATTATAGTTAGTATTTTTAAAATATATTGTGATAATACATAAGATTATGGACATTTTTACTCAATTTAGTTGGCAAAAGTTACTCCATACCCACATAAAAAATTTCTCTGAGATTGCCCTTGCCTAAACCATTTTGATTATCTATCTATTCTTACAAACAAACTCTTAAAGAGGCATTTATTAATGTCGTTAGAGTTATTAGACTGTATCCTTACGTCCTTTTCATTTTAATTCCTGATAATGGCATCAGAATCGATTTAAATCTATCTGTGTTTAAATTACTATAATTAAATACTTCTATGCCTAAAGTATTAAAAAGTTATTAAAAAAAATTAAAAATGTGATTTTTTTATTTTTTATATAGGCCAGTTGAATTTAAATTGTTATCCCGAAAAAAATTTTTTGTAAAATAATTATACAATTTTTCATCTATTTATATACATATATTTCTGAAAAAACTTGTTTTTCAACATTTTTATAAGTATTTTATAAGCTTCAATATAAAATATATTTTAATGTGTTTAGTATTCCGGAAGTTTATTTATTTTAGTTAAATTTTATAGAACTTTTATTAAAGTTAACTATATTAACAAATTAATTTGATTAAAAATGTAATTGAAGCTCCGAGTATTTGTATATAATTATATACTAAAATATTTTGGACTTGATGAATATTAAAAGGTTTTATTACATAGATAATATTAAACCAAACTAATTTTTAATAGTATAAAGAGTCTTTATCTCTACCTAATCTTAAAATCTAGTTTAGATTTAAACTTTTTTCTAGTCATTCATAAACTTTAAACAGCTGTAATTAGTTATAATTGAACTTTATAAAACAATCTTTTCAATTGAATGAATCTATTGATGTAAAATTTCAGGTGTAATAATTCTTTATAATATTGCTTTCATTATCACTTAATAGAGTTATAAATTGAAAGCATCATAGCATATCTTCTTCTTACGGCATTTTAATACATTTTTTTAGTTGATTAAATGTTCATGTGATAGGGTCTTAAAATGGTTCGGTTGCATATTCTCAAATCCACTATTCCCACATTTTTTCCCAAATCCATTTTCCCTGTGAAAAGATAGATTCCTTGTGCTACCTTATTATCAGTCTACGTCAGGAAAACTAGGTAGATGGAGTAGATACCTCATTACCGTATGTGTATGCGTTTCTAGTGAAATGAGCAGTGTAAATTTAAAGTTAAATTAAGTTTAATAAAGTTAAGTTAAATTTAATCCCACCCATTTAAAACATAAAGTTTTATCAAATGTTAGCAGTTTGGGTAACAATTGATTTGGTGATTGACTGTAAATTGATTTATTTACAACTTTAAAATATTAATAAAATCAAAGTATTAGACCAAAAGTTGTTACTGACCAGTCATTTTCTTAATTAGATCATTTTCTATTTTATAAGCTAGTTATATATATATGATACCATTTAAAAAAATCAAGTTAAAACCTGTATAATACATAAGGGATGAATGTAAAAAAAATTTTATAACAGAATCTTAATTTTGTAACAACTAAAATATAATTATTAGCATTAGAAAATTGCTCTGTATTTAAAATATATACTAAAATATAATAAAATATTTTAACAGATTTAGAATTAATTTTTAAAAATATTTTTTATTTTGCCTCATATTTCTTTTTTATAAAAAATATGTTAAAATTTATTGAATATTCTTAAATAATATTAAATATATATTTATCTAGCCATATGTTTACAAATATTTATAATTATATATTATTTTATTTTAGTGGTCATAACCACAGAATTTGGTGTCTTGATATATGTAGCACAAGTTTACAATTAGCAACTGGCTCATCAGACTCTACTGCTTGTTTGTGGTACATCAATTACAAAAAACCATTACGATTTTATAGTGGTCATAAAGATGATGTTTTGGTTTGTATAGATAAATCAATAAATTTTATCTAATGTATGTTCATTATGATTTTTATTTTTAGTGCTTAAAATTTCATCCAAATCAATTATACTTAGCTACTGGATCATCTGATAAAACAGTACGTTTGTTTAATATAATTGATGCTCAATGTGTCAGACTCTTAGAAGGACATGGTGATTTTGTAAACTGTTTAGATTTTCATTTGATTGATCCTTGTACTTTAGTATCAGGGGGTAAGAAAGATAAAATCACACATTTCATAATAATTAAAAAAATCTAATTATTTAATTATTCAGATTCTGGAGGTGGTATTATTGTATGGGATTTGCCATCAGGCTTGCAAAAATGGAAAATTTATGTTGGGGAAATTACAGTTGCTGATGTTAAATGGTTATCAAATACTATATTATTTGCTAGTCTTGCCTCTGGAATTATTTTAAAATGTGATATTACAAGGTTGTTATTTTGTTAATTAGAAAGTGTTATTGTTGAAATTTTACTATTGAAAATTAATTTATTATATGACTCAATCATTTTTAGATGCTATCAAGAAAAATCTAGAAAAATACCCGGTTTTAAAACAAATTATGGACGTCAAATAAATATGGTGAGAATATATGATCAATTTATAACAATTGGTTTATCAGGTGTACCAAGTGTTCCTAAATTAAAATGTAATACAGCTAAATTAAAAAAAGAAACTCAAAAACAAGAAGCAACTCAAATAAATTCAAATCCTCTTAAACACTTATTTTTTCCACCCGGAGTAGGAAAAATGAACACATCTTTCCCTGCTTATCAATTTCTTAATTCAACGCAGACACCTAATGTTTACCAACTAAATACTCAACCAATGGGTTATACAACTGCCATTCCACAACAACAACGTCAGTTAAATAAATTAAATAATCTGAGACCACCTAGTTTTTCGACAAATCAACAATTATCTCAAAATAGTTTTATTAGTAAATCACCTGATACCAACATTCAAAATACTCAGGATTCACCTCAACTACATAAAAATCTTAAAAATCCTCAATCAAATAATCAATTTAATACTCATTTAGTAAATGCTAATATACAACAAACAAATCAACCACAATATCGATTACATATAGCAAATCCACAACATGCTCAATCACAATCTCCTACTGTATTTATTTCTCAAAATTCTCAACTACATAGTGGGACAAATGTGCAACAGATAAATGTACCAGTACAGTCATCATCTATACTTGTTTCTCAGCAATCTCAACCTACAACTAGTTTACAGTCATTAAATTCTCAACAAAATACTTCCAATATATTGATTTCACAATTTTCACCTCAAGAAAATATTAATATTCAACAACAGTCTTGTAAAAACTCTTCTTCTAATAGTTCATTGCAAAATAAAAATATCCAAAAGTTACTATCATCTGATATTAATGTACCATGTTCCTCACCTTTTGACAATTCTTTAACACATCAACAAAATATTGTTTTGCCAGACAAACAAATAATGTATTACTCATCAACAGCAGAAATTGATCATCAACGATTACGCAAAGCAGTTTTTGCACAAATAGAACGACAAAATAAAAAAAAAACTCTCAATGATCAAATAACATCAAGTAATACATTAAATAGAACAACATTTATATCAGATGCTACATCAGTGCAGCCTACTGTTACTTGTACTATTACTTCTACATCTGCATCTAAAATTGATTCAACTAGTACACAAACAATACAGCCACATCAGTAAAGTTAATTATTTTTTGATTTTGTGTCACACTAATGAAATTACTCAGTGTTTATTTACTTATTTTTAATAATTGTATAATTGTTATATAGAAAAACCAAAATAATTTTTTAAATTTAATCTAAATACTATAATGTACCTGATACAATTAATAAAAACTCGTGTAAAAAATTAATAGTTGAGTATAAAACTGTCTTTTAAATTTAAATTTAATTAAATATATTCAATGTAAGTAATTAATTATAATTTATTGTCTAATATTTGTTATGAAATTAATACAATTGTACTTTCCAAACAAAATTATTAATTATATTCTAGTCAATACAAAGTTAAAATACTATGTATTATGTATTATTGTATTATGTTATCATAAATACTTCTTATTTATTACAATATTTATAAATAAAAAAATTACAAAATTTGTAATTCTATTTAACAGTATTTAGTATCGAATAGATATTGTTGTTTAAAAAACCTTAGACAGTTTTTAATTTAATTTCGTATTTTTAGGTTTAAAAAAAATCTAACTTTTCATTTCAATTTACTATAATAAAGTACTGAAGCTATGTTTAAATTACTTATTAGTAGAACTTTATAAGGACATTGTATGGTTATTATCAATTTTTAGCCCGTAACATATTAATAATACTACGACAACCAGGAAAGAACTGATTTATTATGACAATACAAATAATGCAAGTAAGTAGTTTCATATTCTTAATATCTTTCAAATATCAGTTAATTAAAACAAGACTTTATCAGGCTATAATTTAAAGTGCAGTTCAGAAAATTTTTTGCGTAATTAAGAGAAACATATTTGACATCAGAAAATTACTAATACTATAAATAAAAGTAAGCTACAAAATACATCTAAAAATATAAGTATTTTAATAGATTTTTTTTTTAATTTTGAACTAAAGAAATTACAGTATAATTATTTATAGATGACAAAAGCGCAACTTGATCTAAAGTGAGTGTCTCTAGTGGGGCACTTTGAGTTTGAAAACAACCATTTTATAAATTTTAGTAAGCTTTTTTTAAAGCAAACTTTTAAATTTTGACATTATTTAAAAAAAAAAAATCTTAGAGAAGCCCCTTAGCATCAGGAATACACATTATTCTTGAATTTTTAACTATGTAATACTTTTTAAGTTCATCCCTTATGCTTTGGAAGGGGGTCAACTTTGTTTTTTTAAACGGTAACACATATTTTTAATTTAATAAAATGTTTGAGTTTTTAATTTAATAGTAAATGGAATTTGAATTTTTAATATAACTTGTTTGTTTGTAAGTTTGTAACTCCACGCGGCACGTGTTATTATGTCGCGTATCCCGTCGTGTATGACCTTGAGACTATACTGTTGTAACGCATTCGCCCCACCCCGCTCACCACTCGTAGA